GAGTACCAGCTCCATCAGGTGTGATGGTGCCCAGCTTGACAGCTAACGGGTAGCCTGTCTCCCTGTAGTGCTCCACAGCGTGGTTGTTGCCCCCACTGCCATCGAAGTAGCGTCGGCCACAGAGGATGGAGCCATCTGTCAGGTTGAGCCACAGGTTCTCTCTCATGTCACACTTGGAGCACTTCCAACCACTAACCCAGGGAGAAGGAAATTAGCTGAAATACGGGTCAGGGGTATACGGGAGTGGTAGAGAGAGGGGGCTCTGCGGGCCCCCTGCCAGTCCAAGATCTTGCTCTTCTCCTCTCCTCTGACGTCCCCTTGCTTAGTTCTCCTCCCCCAAGTCTCCCTCCTTGTCCTGCCCCTGACCCTCTCTCCCGCCAGATTCCCCAGGAGGGTGGCCTCTTTGCCCCTGCTCTGGGGGTTGCGCCCCGAGGTGGAGGGGCCAGGCCTCACCAGGGAGGGATTCGAGCAGGGTTGTCCAGCTGCTTGAGGCTGAAGGCATGCTTAGACACCTGCCGTACTTCCCCATCCCAGGCCTGCACCTCCTGCTTGCGGGAGGCTGAGTCGGCCGACAGTAGGGCCTCCACCGCACTGGTCACCTGGGGGAAGCAGAGGGTCAGAGACGGTACCCAACCCCCAGCCCCACATACCCCTCTAGCCCCTCGGTCTTCAGCTTGGTCAATGCTCGCCCAAGACATCACTGCTCTGGTCCCACCTGGCCTAGAATCTTGGGTAGGGCGGGAAGGTACTCCTACCCGATCTCTGACAATGTCAGGCAGTCCCCCCAACCCATCCCGGGCAATCTCCAGGTAATCTGGCAAAATGACAATCTTCACATCCTCATCGTATTCAAACTTCTCCTCGTTGAGGTCAAACCCGCCTTCGACACCTGGTGAGACAGGGAAGAAGAAGGAGAGTGGGACAACCACCACAGGCAAACGTCCCTCTTCTGATTCGGCACTTCACTTTGTCACCCCAGAGCTCTAGGGCCACTGATCGGGCCCATTCTTTTGGGGCTTTCCTAGTACCTCTGAGAGCAGGAAAGACCAGCTCAGGGAGAATAGGGTGGCAGTGGTGCTCACCAATAGCCAGCCGGGTGGGCTTCTTACGGGGGGGGTCTCCAGTGCCTGTAGTGGTGTCCTCCTCTTTCTGCAACGAGGCAGGAAAGGCAAGATCAGCAATAAGCACCAGGGAAGGGACAAACGGGGAGGATCCGTGGGATGGAGTGGGTTACCCTCGGAAAAGAATGGAGCTAAAAAACAAGTGCTGAGTTTTAATGACATCAACAGAAATGGGTGAGGGGGAAACTGAGGCCTACAGGAGGTCAGAACGGAAGAGACAGATTCAAAATTGGGGCCCAGTGGGATGTGCCTAAATGGCCCCAGGCCTTGTCCCACCCCAGTCCCTACCGGGCGCCGGGTCCGCCGGAGGTGCAGGTAGACTCGCTGGCCGGTCTTGTTGAAATGTCTCTCCACATACTGTTTCCCAAAGCCCAGGAATGTGTTCATGCAGATGTAGAGGCCACCCTCAGACTCCTGCAGGATGAGAGGCAAGGTAGGAAACACAGGCAGGATGCAGCCTGGCCAGGTGTGGAACTAGGACCTGGGATCAGAAACTGCTAGTTCCCAGAAGAAAGGTTCTGTGCTCTAACACTGTGTGGCTCTCGGTAAGTCATTTAGCCTTTTAGGACCCAGTAAATGGCTAGGATTCTATTTCCTCCTATGACTTTGATACAAACCAACAAGGACACCTGGGACTGAGCAACACCTATCAGTCACTATTCATCTTCCTTCTCATTCCTTCTTTAGGCTCTGGAGCCCTCCAGTCAACTGCAGAGAGCTCCCTTTACCTCTTTCCTGGAGTCAAGAGATCAGGAAAGTAAATGAGGATCAAATACTGTGGACTTCTAGTGCCAGAGATTATATTCAGAGTGGAAAAGGGTCCTTTCCTGGGAGAGGAAAGACCTCCATGTCACACACTGAACCTAAACCAGGGACACCAAGACAAACCCTACTCGATCTCCACGATTCAGAAAACCTTCCAGACTGGAGGAGCAGAGATTCTAGCACCTGAACAGGACATCTAACCCCTGAGCTTGCCAGCAAGCCCAGATCTGTCCTTTACCACACTGTACTAGGTAGTCGGACCCTGGTCCACACTGAGCCCTCTCCCTCCTCTCCTGCTGAAGCCTCACTCCAGGGGAACCATGTCTTACACGGGGCTCACAGCTAAACCTGGACCCAGTCTGGCAGGGACACAAAATCCAGCATTCTCCAGCCACAACCCTGCCACCTCCCCTCTGACCAACAACTAAATCCCCACTGAGGTCCCATCAAGCTCCAACCTCAAAGCCATCCTCTTTCTAGAACAACCTAGCAACACCTGCCGAGACAGCTAGAACACATATAACCCAAGAAGAAAACTGGGAAAGATAAGTGTCCACCCTAAATCACAGCTGAGGAGGGAGGATGCACTTCCCCAAAACTGAGCAAGGCTACCAGTGCCTTTGTGAATAGAGTGATGGAGAAGGTGGAGGAGGAAACTGAAGACAACAAGAGTCTTCACTCAGATACAAGCAACAACAGGCATCTCCTCCCTGGAATAAAAGCCTCAGTGGCCTTGAAAAATTCTCCCCTGTGATATTACAAACAGGCCACCCTTTAAGACAGTTTTTGGTCCCACAGATTGCTCTGTACCACTTCCTAGAACAGTGTGGATTACAATGTTCATGAACAAACAGAGCATTTCTCACCAGGGAGGTCAAAGAAGCTCTCTTTCTACCATGAACCCAATTTGAAGATAATCAAATATGCCTGAAGTTGGTTAGCAAAGCAATTAGGCCACACTGGAGATCTCTTGACTTGGGGTGAGAGAAGGAAAGTGTAATAAGATTACAAAAACCCCTTTTGGATTATTCAAAGCAATTACTAGAGAGAGAAACAGGAGTGTAAAGAGTGAGCCACCGACTTCTACCATCTGTTGGTTATTAAGAAAAATCTTTCCCTCCTGAGCAAGATGGTGCTTCACCAAGCCCTGCACCTGATAAACTGGGAGGCCCGTGGGAGCTCTGCAGTGATCCAACTTCTCTGTCGGAATTGAAAGATGCTAGTTTCACCAAGGACTGGGAACCCTGGGGCTCTGCTCTGAACCAAAGCCAGACTTCAGAGAAGTGGCACATCGTCTGAAGCCCAGATCAAAGCCCAGCAAACCAAGCAAACCACAATTCACAGGGATGATTCTGAACTGGGCCTTAGATCACGCTGCTATACCCAGCACTGGTGATGCATTAACGAAGCCTTCCACTCTGACTTGCAATTTTCCCAGCCACGAGTTGGTCTGGCTGAACACCCTGGGCAGGGCCCAGCAGTGGCTTGAGGGGAGGGGTGGTGAAGGGGGTGGATCCCAACCAGGCTGCTGCCCTCTCTCCTGGCTGATGGCTTGTCTCTGCTAGAGGGTGACACAGGAAGGCAGAACTGCAGGAAGGGAGGTACCGGGTGGAGTCTGCAAAACGTGAAGCATGGTGTGGGTGGAGGCTTCGTCTAACTAGTCAAGAGTGGGACCAGGATGGGAAAAGGGCCTTAGTAACCTCTACCAAGGAAACCATCGCCTTGAGAATACTTTAAAAAGAGTTCCCTCTGCTCTCTGTGATGGGCAGGAAAAAGAGGGGGCTGCAGCCACAGTTCACCTCAAAAAAGAAACGACTAGAGCTTTCCTCTCCTCTTTCTTCCCCTCCCTACTACCAATGACCCACCTCTCCGCCCCCTGTCCCTACTGACCATGGATGGAGGCTCTCTAACTCGGCCTTTCTCAGAACCTGCCTTCTTCATGGCCACTTCCAGACTACTAGGCGCCTAGGAATTGCAGTCCCCACCCTCCAACCCCAACCCCGGGCCAGAACAGTAGGGGGTCCCCCCCATCCCTCCTACACGAGACTACAAAACCCGGAGAGCCATGCGCGACAGGCAAGGCCACCTCCCAGGCTTTCGCGGGGTCCACTTGGGGGATGTAGTCCGACGACCGCGTTTCGCCTCTAACTTAGAATGGCAATGAGGGGAGTGACCGACTACAATCCCCACAGTCCTCCAGGAGATGGGGAGCGGGCGAGGCGGGAGCGGTGACTTCCGGGGGCGGTAGTCACACGACAGCTCCAGCTAATTAAAAGCAAAGGCAGGGAGTAGCGTGAGGGACTACAAGTCCCATGGTGCATCGCGGGGAGGCGGTAGCCCAAGCCTTGCAGGCCCCGGCAGAATGACCAGGGCGATGGAAGGAAGTCGTGATTGCTGCGGGCCTGGGGAATGGGCTTACCGGTGTGTCGAAGGAGAAGGCGCACTCGTCTTTGTGGACCCGGTCTCCAGCCTTAGGGACCCGGATCGTCGGTAACACTGACAGCAGCGCCTCCTCACTCAACTCCGCCATGACACCGGCAGCAGCTTCTCCACACAGCGGCTCCCACCGTTCCCAGTCCCCCACCCCCTACTCCCGCCGTCCAATGAGCACTGCACGTTAGGCGCATGCGCTAAGGGAAGACGCGCGAGAACGGCAGTTGGAAGGAGCCTGCCTACTAGCGCTTCACCCTGTGCCCTACTGTCTACTGACGCCAATGAAAAGCGCTTCTAGTGCAGTCTGTGGTCGGAAGAACCAATCCCGCTCTTCCAGGCAGAGCGCACGTAGAGCGGCGAGGGGGGCCCCGGAGTTTTGGCTGCTCGACTCTGGGATCCCTACACTCCCTTCGCGTGCCTTCTATCGAAGAGCAGAAACTGACGGTTGTTTAAACCAATCAATCCCAGAAACTTTCCTGGGCACTTGTCCAATCGGAAAATAGACGGGCAGTTGTCAGCTTGGTGTTTGAAAAGGGGCTGTCCGATGAGGCGGAGTTTGAGAGGCTAGTGTCGAGTGATTGATTACTCCGTCAACTAATAAGGATTACGATCTCTCTCGCCTCAGAAAAATGTTCGTAACTCCGTCTCCAGCTGGATCTGTAATAATTCATGATTCTAGTTTTTTTAACAAAATCATTTGGTTTACAAACTGAAGGTCTCAGAAGCAAAGACTAGCACTCCTCAAGATCTCACGATGGACAACTCGAAGCCTGATACGGAACAAAAGTCCCCTTATCGAGGGGGCGTCACTCCTGGGCAAGCCAAGCCGCTGTCCATTGGCCCCATGGTCCCCGTGACAGACGTCCTCCCAACCCAATGGCTTTCTCCACTGGATTCGGGTCTCACGTAGCGGGCCTATAACAGCCTGTGTCGGCTCAGCCAATAGGGTCAAGGGAGGGGGCGTGGCGGGAGGTTTGAAACTCAGCTTCCGGGAGTTAAGGCTTGAGCTGCTGTGCGCCTAAAGGTGGGACTGGGGCCAGGTAAGTGATTTAAACAAATTATTAAGTTACAGGACCCGATATGCCCAGAATGAGCCGCCTTGTCAGCTGCACCAGTCATTGTCCCCGCAGAGGCCTCTGGCCCAGCGGCCAGGAGGTTCCTCAGTTGGGAACTGAGAAGATCGGGGGGTCTGGTGTCAGAGGTCGGACATGGTCACGGTAAGGGCTGAGACCTGAGTCACTTCTCACAGGCATCACCTCCTCGCCCTGGGCCGGGCCCTGCCCACCCTATTCCTCCTGGTTGAGATGGGCACAGCCAAGAGCATCCCAGTCACTCCAGCGCGGCCTCCGCTGCACAACAAGCATCTGGCCCGAGTGGCGGACCCCCGTTCACCTACTGCCGGCATCCTGCGCACTCCTATCCAGGTACTCTGGGCCGGAGTAGGGGAGGCAGAGAAACTGAATTCTTGGACCTCTGCCTAACCTGATTCTGAAAGAGCCCTCACGCCCCCCTGCTTTGAGGCCTTATTTTCCACATTGTCAGTCAGGGTGGGGTAGACTGAATGTCTGAGGGCCTTGACAATTCCTGCCTAGAATGTCAGCCTGAGGCTAAAGACCTGGGAGGGAAGAAGAGTCAGAGCCCAGACTTGTTCTAGGCTTTGGTTTTGATAGGTGGAGAGCTCTCCACAGCCAAACCTACCAGCAGGGGAGCAGCTGGAGGGTGCTGATGAGGCCCAGGACTCAGATCCCCGCTCTCCTACCCTTGGCATTGCACGGACACCTATGAAGACCAGCAGCGGAGGTAAGTGTTGAGCCAAGGGAATTCTGATAAGGCCTAGCATCCTTGGGTAGGGTCAATGAAGCCATCCTCTCAGGGCTCCTTCTTAAAGAGGCCTCCATCCTCCTGCTTTGAACCCATCTCCCTCTTTTCTCAACATTTTGCTCCCTCTCACCTTGATTTCTCTCTTTCCAATCCCTCACTCACCAGGGCATGAATCCTAAGGCTCCTGTATCCTTTCCTCCTTGCTGAATGATTTGTTATCAGAGGGTCACTATCCCACTTCACTTCTCCCCTCTAGAGCCCCCAAGTCCACTGGTGAAACAGCTGAGTGAAGTATTTGAGACCGAAGCCCCCAAATCGAATCTTTCCCCAGAGCCTATGCTGACCTCAGAGGCACCTTCAACTTCTGAATTGGACTTGCCCCTGGGCACCCAGTTTTCCCTTGAGGACCAGGTGCCACCTGGGAGCCAAACTGAGCTCCCCTCCCAGCAGGTGTTTTCCAAGGAGGAAACAGGACAGCCCTCAGAAACCGCTACGGCCAGCCATGTCTCAGACAAGCCCTTGAGAGACCCTGAGACTCCCCGATCTTCAGGTACAGAATCTAAGGGCAAGGTATAGTGAAGAGAAGTTGGGATAATGTTCTGAGATAATGGCCATGGGTGAATGTAGGAAGAGTAAACTGTAAGCCCCTAATTTTGGTTCCTTGCTTTAACTTCTTACCCACCCTAGGTTCTAAGCGCAACAGACGGAAACCAAACGGCAAAGTACTAGGGAGATCTCCCCTCACCATCCTGCAGGATGACAACTCTCCTGGGACTCTGACACCACGACAGGTAAAGGAAGAGAAGGTGAAAGCTATCACTAGGAATTCAATGTAGAGGGTGGGAGGCCCTTTTACCCGATCTTCCCTCTCCTAAACAACCTCCCTTCCTCCCCGACCTCACACACTGCCTTTTGCAGGGTAAGTGGCCTTCTCCCCTGAGTGAAAATGTTAGGGAACTAAAGGAAGGGGCCATTCTGGGAACTGGACGACTTCTGAAAACTGGAGGACGAGCATGGGAGCAAGGCCAGGACCATGACAAGGAAAATCAGCACTTTCCCTTGGTAGAGAACTAGGCCATGCATGGCCCCAGCACTGGGTTCCCCAGGGGCCTAGTGACAATCACTACTCTCACTCCTTCTGTCCCTGGGAGACTGGACACGTTTGTTTTCTTCAATTCCCCCTAAACTACCAACTCTGGGACTGAGAGCTTTTTTGGGCTTTGTTTGTGTCTTATGTGTGTCTTGTAAATTAAAGGAAGTAGTTTTAAATGATGTTTGAAAGTGTTATACTTGGGCCGGCCCCGTGGCTTAGCGGTTGAGTGCACATGCTCCGCTGCTGGCGGCCCGGGTTCGCATCCCAGGCGCGCACCGACGCACTGCTTCTCCGGCCATGCTGAGGCCGCGTCCCACATACAGCAACTAGAAGGATGTGCAGCTATGACATACAACTATCTGCTGGGGCTTTGAGGGAAAAATAAATAAATAAATAAAATTATTAAAAAAAAAAAAGAAAGTGTTATACCTAACCCTTGCACCGGGTCTTCTGCATGTAGAAAGGCATCCTGGGGACCTTGTGTTGCCTGGCCTGAGTGTCCCCTCGCTGATCCCTCCGAGCCTCTTTTATGTATGTCCCTTCAGTCCTGGTGTTCCCCAGGGCTTGTCTTTGGTCTTTTCCTCTTTCTCTCCCTAGGTGTTCTCTTCCAGAGCTTTAGCTATCACTTACCTATATTCTAGTAACTTCCAGGTATCTCTGTGTAACCCTGACATTTACCCAGCTTCCCCATAGGTACTTCAAAGTCAGTTTGTCTAAAGTTGAATTTGTGATGTGCCAAAAGCTATTCCTCGTGCTCTATTCTGTATCCACCCAGTTGCCCAAACCCAAACCTTGGCCATCATCTTGAATCCTTCCCTCTTAATATCTCATATCCTAGCTCTTTGTCACTAAATCCTGGTGATTTTATATCTTTAGTCTCTTCCCCATCCCTTCCCTTGCCTCTCTGTCTTGCATTTCTTACCACCTCCCTCCTACCTTGTTTCCCTCCGTTCCCTCCAGTCTCCCCTCCCCCATTTCATCAACCTACACTGCTACTAGGGTGATCTTTCTGAGAAGCATCACTGATCACGTTACTATTCTGCTCAAAACTGTTCAATGTTTCCCCATTGCCCTTTGGATCAAGTCTAGACTCTTGAGCTTGGCATTCAAGGCCTTTTATAACCTGATTCCTTCTCACTGTAACCCTCCTGTACAAACACATACACACCATAGGCAGGCTGTAGTGAACTGTTGTGCACATGCTCCTGCAGCCACCTGGTGAATACCGTCTCCTCCTAACCCATCTCAGGCCTTCCCCATGAGCCTTGGGGCTTCTGCCTCCCCACTACTTTCTGCCCACAAGCTGCCTGGTACCCGGCCTTTATCATTGCACCTGTAATACTTTCTTACTTAAGTGGGACCTGCATCTTTTTGGAACAGAAGTGGGGTGGAAGCCAAACATCACAGACATACCAGGGTGCTACACTTTATTGCAAGTGCTTTAGGAGAGAAAAAAAGAGGAGAGAAAAAGGAGAAAGCATGAAAGAGAAGGGGACCCAAGTGGTGCCAAAGCCACAGTCCTGGGGCTGAGCACCCTGTGCCACCCCGGTCTAGACAAAGGTAGTGGCTCTGGGGGAGGAATCCTAGGGCCTGGGGCCTCAGACTAGAAGCCTGCTAGACCTGCCAGGGGCTGGGGAGGGGTCCATTGTCCTTGCTCATTCAGGGAGAAGCTGTCAGGACCATGGAGAGAGGAGGCCATGGGAGGAGAGGGGGCAGTTCTTTGCCCCTGTGTCCCTGATTCTGCCTCCCAAAGGCACACTCCCCATATTCCCCACTGCCCTCAAAGGAGAAAGCTTGGTGGGAATGGCTGCCCAGGGTTGCGTGGGGTATAGAAGAGAAAACCGTAAAGAAATTGGGCCGGGGAGGGGGAAGCTGAGTGTCTTCATGGCCTTTTGACCTCCTCTCCTCCAGCCTCCTCAGTTCCAGATTTTGAGGAAGCTGTCCCAGGAACCAGTGGCCACAGCCATCCCATCAGCTGTGACCCCCAGGCAGCTGACCCTGTTGTCGTGGCCAGAGAGGGTGCCTGAGGAGAAGGGAAAGGGGTCAGCCTGTTTCCCTAGCTGATTTGGCAGGGAGCATGTATGCATGTGCAGGAATCCTACGTTAGGGAACCTGGGCATGGACTCTGCAGGCCCTGGTGGAGACTGGGAGGCTGAAAGGATTAGCTCTAAGGGGTGGAATTCTCTTGAGGCCAATCTCTGTCAAGAACCCCGGGGTGGGGGAAGTGTCAGTGTGCTATGAGAAAACAAGGGCACCTTGTTTTCAGACAGTGGGGAAGGTAACCCTGTAGTCCTATTTCCAAGTGAAGAGACTGAGGCCCAGAGAGAAGGTACTTGCCCCGGGGCGCTCAGAAAGTAAGCAGCAGAGTTAGGATTGGGATCCTGACTCTGGCTGGTGTTTTCATTCAGCATCTGGTCTCCCTAGAGAAGAAGCCACACTATCCGATTCAGCTTCAGACCAGGCTGGTCCTAGAGAAGCCGCTAGGTCGGGTCAGGGCCCTCAGGTCCCTCTGGATCTTCTAGATTCTGCTCACGGCGTAGTTCCCCGAGATGACCCTTTCCTTCAGTGGGTGCCCCTGAAACCCAGAACTGACTGGACATTCAAGGTCCACGGGTCTGGGGATGACCAGAAGGAGCTTCTCTGGCAGGGAGCAGCTATGGCATTGGGTGGTGGAGAAGGGCCGCTTAGAGCAAATTTCTTTGAGAGAAGATGGTCCTAGATTAGGAACTAAGGAGGACTGGATTCTGGGGGTAGAGCTCAGAGTTATCCAGTGAGTAGGGAACAGCAGTGAGAGGGTCCCAACAAGGGGAGCTGGCGGGAGGGTCCTTCCAGCTGGTCCTTACCCACACGCTCGCATTTCATGGAGTCCCAGACGTTGCAGTTGAAGTCATCGTAGCCTGCAAAGAGCAGGCGGCCGCTGAGGGAGAAGGCCACGGACGTGATGCCACAGATGATGGTCTCATGGGAGTAGGCGGTCAGCTCCTGGTCGGCCCGCAGGTCAAACAGGCGGCAGGAGGCATCGTCCGAGCCCGTGCAGATGGCCTCTCCGTTGGGGAAGAACTGAGGGGACAGTCAGCAAAGCAGTCAGGACTCAGACCTGGGCAGCCTGCTGCCTCTCCTGCCCTCTCCCTGACTCCTGCCTGGTGGCTCCAGGGCCAGCTGCTTCCCTCAGCTGCCCTGCCTGTCCCTTCCCCGGCCTGTGGTGGGAAACAGCTCAGTCTCCACTGCTGACATTTATCATGAGCCAGCCGCATGCCAGGGGCTCCCGACAACCTTCACTTGCTCCTATTACAGGGCTGCAGGCAGGCATTATCTCCACCACATTGCAGGCGAGAGCATGATGCTGAGGGAGGGAGGGCAGCTTGCCCAGGGTCACGTGGCTGGAAGGGCGGAGGTTGTCTCAGCCTCTTTCGACTATAGTGTGCTGGATCAGAGTGGAAGAACAGGGCTAAATACAAATGCATAATCTGAATCTCATCATGAGCAAATGTCAGACAAACCCACAGAGAAGGAAGGTCTACAGAAAATCGGTTTGTACTCCAAAAATGCCCTTGTCACGACAGACAAAGAAAAGTGGAAAAACAGTTCCAGTTTAAAGGAAACTAAAAAGATATGGCAAGGCAATGCAATGCATGTTCCTGGACAGAAAAATACATTGCAATTAAGGACATTTTGAGATAATTGGTGAAATTTGGGTATAGACTGTAGGCTACAGTATTGTGTCAATATTAGATTTCCTGATTTTAAGAATGATGCTGTGGCTATGGAAGAGAATGGCCTTGTTTTTAGGAAATATACACCAAAGTATTTAAGGGGTAAAGAGCATGATGTCTGCAACTTACTCTCAAAAGACCAGAGGAAAAAAATAATAACAAAATGTTAGGTGTATATGTCTGTCTGTCTGTCTATCTATCTATCCGTCCATCCCTCTACAGAGAAAATGATAAAACAAATGTGGCAAAATGTTAGCAGTGACTATGGGTGAAGGCTAGATGGGAGTTCTTTTTATTATTCTTGCAACTTTTCTGTAAGGTGAGGTTATTTCGAAGTGGAAGGTTAAAAAGAAAGGGTAGGGAGCTGTGGGAGGGATGAAGGATGTGTGGGCGTGAATTTGTCCCGGGAGCTGGAGCACAGAGGGGGCTCACGCAGATAGCGTTGATGTCCGACTCATGGCCAGTGAAAGTCTGCCGGCAGGTCCCCTCACGCACGTCCCAGAGCTTGGCGCTGGCGTCACAGGCCCCCGAAATGAAGAGTTTGAAGTCAGGAGATACAGCGAGACTCATGCAGTCCCCCGTGTGTCCCACAAACACTGTCTTCTGCTGCCCGGTCTCGATGTCCCACAGAGCACTGTGGGGAGGAAGGGAGGCTGTCACAGAGGAAGGCCAGCACAGAACTGCCTCCCAAGCCCCAGCTCCACAACTTGCAGTCCTCACCACGTGGTGTCCCCGGAGCTGGTCACAATGTTGTTGTCGTCCAGGAAGCGGCAGCAGGAGAGATAACCTGGGGGTGGTTAGGACAGTGTCCTGCCTGCAGAGCCACAACCCGCCAGGGCCGGGGCTTCCCTAGACCCCCTGCGACAGAAAGAGGGTCTCACCTGTGTGAGCAGAGAGCTCCCGGCTGACCTTGACATTGCCCTCTCGGGATTTGAGGCTGTAGATGGAGCACATGTTGTCCAGCCCCCCACATGCCACAAAATTCCCTGACGGGGCATAGGCACAGGTCATGACCCAGGAGGAGCGCAGCGGGATGGCATGAACCTGCAGGAAGGCAGGTGTGGGCAAAGGCAGGACCTGAGCTGGGCTCCCAGGTGTGGAGGGTAGAGGAGGGTAGGCATAATGCCCCCAAGGAAGGATGGGGTGATGGAGGGGCGAGGAGGCAGGGCTGGTACCTTATTGGTGGTGTAGGTGTCCCACACGATCAGCTTCCCATCTTGCGAGGCACTTACCAGCAGCCTGGGGACAGGGTACCCCATGTCACTCAAGCCTCTCCTTCCTGCCTCCCCCTCCCCTCTGGGCACATCGCAAGCCTCACTTGGAGTCAGTGGCCCAGTGCATGGCATAGATCTTGGCCAGGTGTCCTCGTAATGTCCGCCGTGTCCGCATCTGGACTCGTCCTGCGACCTCTAGGCCAGACACCAGCTGCAGAAGAAGAGACATTAGAAATCTGGGTGAGCAGAGTACACGCCCTGTTGTCAGTGTCACAGCCACTGACCTGTACAAGTTTCTGCTCCGTGCCAGGCCCTAAGCAAGGCCCACAGGCTTAGAGAAATAAGTCTCTGCCCCGGAGTGGCTTAGACCGATGTGGGAGACAGACACACGCATGGCGAGGGGCATGTTGCTAAGTGTCTAACAACCACCTCTCCAGTGTAGGGTGGGGGGGTGGGAGGGCGATTTCCATCATGTAAATACTCCCACCTTGACCAATTTCAAGCTGCCAAGTTGAGGTCACTGAACACGGACTTGGGATGAGAGGCCCACATTCAGCCGTCCCAAGCCACCAGGAGCCTGCTCTCACATACCACTGCAGCTCAGACAGCTCCTTAGCTTGGCGCCCAGGGCATCGCCGTGACCTGAACTGCACCTCCTAAAATTTGTGGTCCTATGCCCCTTAAACTCTCAAGCTTCTAGACTTAGGCTGGGGCTCCAGAGTCAAAAGACTTGACTTGCCATTTACTTGCTTTGTTATCTTGGGCAGGTTACTTAACCTCTCTGAGCCTGTTTCTTCGCCTGTAAAATGAGGTTTATAGCAACTACCTTATGGGGTTATCATGAAAATTAAATGAAATTATGTATTTAAGCAACTTAGCCCAGTGTCTGGCTCATGGTAAGTGTTAAATAAATGTTTACTCTTATTATTAACATATTTAATCCAATCTAAGATGCCACCAACTCTAAGAAGCACCATTCTTTTATGAGTCACTAAGAAAGAAAAAGTGCTGCCAGTTATAATTGTAGGGTATCACTATTGTTGGCTGCATCAGAGATGTCAAAATGTGAAAAAATGCACCTTAGAATCGATGTAGTGCAGTATTAGACGACTAGGAACCAGAGTCTGGGAGGGCTTTCTGATTTACGAAGTGCCCTCCCTGTCTTCAACCTCACCAAGAGCGGCGGGTGGGTAATCACTCTTGTTTCATGGACGGACTTGGAGAGGGCCAGCGTCTGCATCCTCTCCCTCCAATACAGTGCCTGGCCCAGAGCAGATCTCACTAAGTGTTTGCTGAATGAATTGATTAATGCTGTTCCTCGTCCCAAGGACATGCTGGACTAAAGCTTGAGCACCAGGCTGTTGCTGGTCAGGGAGCAGCCCCGCCCCCGGCCCTGCCTCAGGGGGACAGGAGGTCTCACCTCTGCCAGAGTAATGTCAGCACAGGCTTTCCTGGCGTCCTGGGGGGAAAGCAGACATCAGGGGAGGGCAAGGGCAGGGTGGCGGTGGGGGGTGCGTGGGCCTCTGAGGTAGATGGGCTTGGGGCTCTAGGGTTTGGGGGGCATCTCAAACATGAGATCCAAGCTTAGAAAGTCTCTGGTCACTTCCAGGTCAGGGGTCTCTAAGGTGTCACTCAAAAGCAAATCCAGCCCCCTTGCCCCCATGCCACACTCCCTCATGTCCCCGGCTCCATGTTTTCTGGGGCCCCAGTGGGAGGGTTCTGGGGTTACTGCGATCTGCTTCTTGAGCTGCTCCGCTTCCTGCCGCAGCTGCTCCATCTCCCCCATGGCTGACAGGTCGAGGGCTGGCTCCGGCTCCTGCCAGGAACACGGAGTGGGTGTAGGGGGATCCCCCCAGGCCATGTTTCTGTCCCTCTCACCCCACACCGGACTCCTCATCAGGGCTGGAGCCCACTACAAGAAACAGGGAAATGACTGAGGGGTCTGCACCGCCTCCCCCGCTAGCCTCTGCAAGTTCGCAGTCCTGTGCAGGTGGCCCCAGCGCTGCCCGAGCCCTCCCTGCAGCCCCCAGCCCCCAGCCCCAGAGAGTAGAGCCAGGCCAGCTCCCTCTTACTTGGGCTCTGCCTGGACCTCTCCTAGGTTTCCAGCTCCCAGGCGCCTCCTCACTCCCTCAGCTGCGATGCCCGCCTGTCACCTGCCCCAGCTCTGCTGCCAGAGGAGCTGGCCTGGCCTGGCCCCGACTCTGGGTGGGGGACACTGACAGGGAAGGGTAGGGCCAACTACGTCAGGGAAATGAAATCAGCAGCGGGGGGGGGGGGAGGACGGAGGGAGGTGTGAGGCTTCTAGAGAGACTTGCGCCCAGCCGGGGGGAGGGCAGGGAGCAGGAGTGTGGGGCTATAGAGAGGAGCAGCCCCCACAACAAGCCCTGGAGGGAGGAGGGGTTGAAGGGGTGCTTCCCTGGCCAGTCTCTCTGTGGGCAGAGAAAGAGCATCAGGCCCTGTGGGATTAGAGCAAAGCTGTGAGGATTAAGGGTTGGGGTTGGGAGGGGTGCAGAGGAGCAGCAGAATCACAGCCCCAGTGGCCCCCCAGGCCCTGGCCTCACCAATGGTGATGATCTGGCAGTCAGGGCCTACCTAGCAACCAGGCCAGGAGCCAGAATATAAGGGTGAGAGATGACCCATTGTCAACACCCAAAACTTTGTTCCTTAGCTCGGGGTGGTGGGGGAAGAGGGTTACGGTGAATATGGGGAGGGTGCAGGTAGGAGCTTAGATTAGAAGGACTGATCTGGATAATCCTTCTTCCCAACAAACCCCAACCAGCTGCCCCTGGGTCTGATGCTGGTGGGTGGGGGAGGTACAGGGGATCTCAAGAGAAGGATGGACACGACTGCCCCTGCTTTCGGTAAAGAAAGGATGGCAAGTGGAGGGCAACCCCCTCCCCTGCTCCCACCTGGGGTTTGGCCCACTCCTTGCCCCATGACTCACGGGGTCCTGCTGGGGCTGTGAAGGCAGGAGCCAGAGGGATCAGGCTGCCCTAAGTCTCAGCCAAACTCAGAGAGGGAAGAAAGGGCTTAGAGTCGGAGGCCCAAGGAGCAGCTGTCAGGGGTTAGGGTCTATTTGCATGAGGGGAGCAGGTGGCTGAGATTTCCCTGACAAATCACAGGCTTGAGTGGCCCCCCTCTGGGAGGCCCTAAGACACCTGTCTCCTCCCAGGCCAGCCATAGCCACTCCCACCTCCAGCCACCACAGAAACTGTGACACACTTGACTTGGGCCTCGGCTGAGGGGTCTTCATGTTCTTTATTGACAAGCTTGGAGAGGGCAGTGGGGTATCCTCCCCTCTCATCCTCCTCATTTAAGGCCGTCAGGCCCTGCCCCCTGACAGTTCTTCCCAGGGAAGCATCGTGTCCTCTGTCTGTCTTAGGGCTGGAGGTCCATCAGCTGGGGCCAGGAGTGGCTCCCCAGGCCTGGTGAGCTCTAGGCTAGTCCATGCAGTGTCCTCTGAGTTCAGGGCTAGACGGCTCTTGTGAGTCCCAAGATGGTGGGGGTGCAGGGCAAGAGAGCTCGCTGTTCTGCTCCTGTCACATGGGGGCTTCTCATGGGTCCTGGCCTCAAAGCAGCCCTTCACAAGTCAAGTGGCCACATCCCCAAGGAGCTGGCTCAGTCCCTCAAAGCTCCTCTCGGACCCGAGGCGGCTTCCCAGCCTTGTCCTGGACCCGCTGGAGCCTGCGGCTGGGGGGTTCTGGGGCAGGGTCTCTGCTGGGCATTTCCTCCTCCTCCTCTGGCTCCTGCAGCAGCTCTTTGGCTTCTGTCCACTCCTGGGGAGGGGAAAGGAGAGTCTGACCCCGTACCCTGCATCCATTGCCCCAAGGACCCTCCCTGGGTCATGTCAGCCCCTGCCCTTCATCCATCAGCCTGCCCACCCTTCACACACCAGGAGGGACATCCCTTCCTTCTCCCGCTCCTCCTCACCTGCTCCCTGTGCTCAGGTGCCCACGTGTGCCACAGTGCCAGGGAGCAGCGCCGTCCCCGTGTCACGGCCCACACACCGTGGGGATTCTCCCCACCGGAGCTGAAGGCCACGAGGCGTCCGCAGCGAGGACGAACCTGAGCCTGGCGGGAAGGGCAGGTTCAGCTCCAGGGATAGGCCCTCTCAGAGACCCAGCCCTGACTCCCTGGAGCAGGATGCGGGCAGGGGGCACAGGAAGGTCAGCTTTCCTGCCCAACACTTCCCACTCCTTAATTCAGGGACTATCTTGGGGCAAATAGGAATCTGGCCTTGTGCTTTGGGGAGCACAAATGCCAGACTGAGGCTAGGGGAGTTGGAGCCAAAGGGAGGAGGGGCCTCCATCGAGGGCCTCCTCTTGGTTCCCTCTCCCAGTGCCCTGACTTTTCCTGCCCAATCCTTTGAACCGAGTGTGAAGCAATCTGAGGGTATGCGTGCAGTACCAGACTCTGAGTACTGGGGATGAGGATCTTGGGGACAGTTTTCCACTCCAAGGAGGGCTTGGATTATAGGTCGCTGGTGGTGGTAAGCAGAGGAGGTAGTTGGGTAAGACCAAGCAGTAGGCGATGAAAAGTCACCGCCCCTCTCCTACCCAATTCTAGTCCCCAGTTTCTACCTGGAACAGGGACTTGGGGTCCTGTGCTTCCCCTACCCTCCTTTAGGATGTGAGGCAACACTGGAGGCAGGGTCTGGAGGGGCCACTCCGAGATCTCCTGGGGAGGTGTAATCTGCCTCTGCTAGGAGAGCCCTGGACACAGACAGGTGGTGGAGAGGGCTGGGAGGCCAGGAAAGGAAAGGGTTACGGTGGCCCTGCATTTCCCTGCATTTGCCTCTGGGAACCTTCTGTTTTGAATCCTGAGCCCACAGCTGGGCTCCCTGTCACACCCCACAACCCCCACCCCACTTACCTTGACAGTGAGGGCATTGGGCTCTGTGAAGAACAGGTCCCCGCCCTGAAAGTCATCGTTGAGGTAGAGGACTCCACTGGGGAGGGGGGAAGACAGGAGGCAGTGAGACCCCAACCCAGGCCCAGCTGCCTGACCCCTGGAGGGGCCGCCCACCTGTAGTCTCGATAGGTGTAGGCTGGCGGCTCCCGCCAGCACTCTCCGGTGTCAGGGTCCAGGACGCAGTTGTCAGCATGCACCGGGTGACTCAGGTCCATGCGCTGCTCCTGCTCTCCTAGGAAGCAAGGGGGCCTGGTGATTGCCTGTGCCCTGTGCCCACTCACCACCATCCACACCCACCCTGCAGCTCCGGGGGTTATAGCTGGGCAGAGACGCCAGGCGCCCACCTGGGCAGAGGAGTCGAGATCTTTCTGGAGTGAAGACTGAAACCCACACATTTGGGGGTGCTGAGGGTATGCAGTGCCCAACAGGCACGTGAGGTTGGGGAAGAGCAGCTGGGATCCCTGGCGGTTACCTTCTATGGCACTGCGGCATACCAGGTGGGTGAAGGAAAGGTGCAGGGGCCGTTCCGGGGAGAAGTAGGCCTGCGTCAGGGTCCGCACACGCTCGCTTGCCTCCAGAAGCAGCTTAGCGCCCTGACTGCCCACAGCCCCAGCCCGAGCCAGCTGCAGGCAGCAAAAGAGAGGAGGCAATGGAAGGGTGGTCCCAGCCCCAGCCCCCGCCTACTTCTGCTGCTCTCCACCCATGGGTTTGGAGTCTCTCAGCAGCCAGCTCTGTCCATCAGTCCAAACTGCTCCTTCCGCTGGCTCCAGGATCACAACCCAGGCCCCAAGGCCTCGGAATACCCGCCTCCTCCACCCTGGGCCGAGGACTCAGGTACTCAGTCCCGGGAGAGCCCCTCCACAGGAGAAGCCCAGGCCCTGGTGCCCAGCCTCCTGCACACCCTCTTCTCCAGTTCTGGCCATCAGAGCAGGGCATGGGTGCCTCCTCTCACCTGCGCAGCCTTGAGCACTGTGAGCCCCTCAAAGCGTTCATGGGGGGTGTGAGGGGAGCGGCGGCCTCGATAGCCAGACCTGGCTCCAGCCTCAGCTGCGTCCTAAAGAGAGAAGAAGTTGGCTGTGGAGTCACTCTCCCTGGGCCCCAGGATATCGCCCACCTCACTGCCCACAGGGCTACAAGACCTTCCTTCCAATCCTCGCACTCCCTGGAAAAGGCCAGAAGCTCCCAGAGTTCTCTGGTGGCTCCTTTTCTGAGCTGCTGCCCTTTCCTAGAGAATGACTACCTTCATGTCTGTATTGTCACTCTCATTGTCAGCAGGAAGTTCGATGGTCAAGCCAGGTCCTGGCTGACTCGAGGTGGGGAGACAGCATCAGCCGAGGCATGTCTCTCTGACCTCTTCCCGCTCGACATGCTCTTGGAGAATGTGAGGACCCTTGATGCTGAGTCCCAATTACCCAGCTGCCTCCATGACTCTCATCACCTGGGGCCTCCCAGTACTTGGACGTCTCTTTCCTGACACCTATTCTTCTGTCTGCTTTTAGAAACTCAGTTAAAGTACCACTACCTGGTTACCCCATATGTAAACCTCATCGCTAAGAGACCACCTAGTCACCCAAGCCGTCTAACCTTCTATGCTTGTATCCATTCACTCAACAAATGTGTACTGCCTACCCACTATGTGCCAGGCATTGTTCTAGGCATTGGGGACACAGCTGAACATGAAGAGGTCCCTCCTCTCATGGGGTTTATATTTTAAGATAAAAAAATAAATAAATAAATAAGCCAACCAACCAGATCAATTCAGAGGTGATAAGTGTTAGGAAGAAAATACAGAGTTACAACCTTGAGAGTGCCCAGGCAGGGGTCTGGGCACAGCTAATTGACGAGGTGACATCTAAACTGAAACCAAATGATATGAAGGAGCCACTGGAATATCTGAGAGAAAAATGTTCCAGGAGAAACAGCAAGTGCAAAGGTCCTGGGGCCAGAATGAGTTTAGTGGGATCAAGGAACAGAAAGAAGGTCCGATAGTTGGGAGTTATCCTTGACTCCATTCTTTTATCATCTTCCACATAGATTTAGTCCTTAATTTCTCTATCTTTGATTCTCTCAATATTTCTCATCTGTCCCCCTCTCTTCATTCTGTTGAAATGAGGACCTAACCTAAGACAGTGGCCCTCTTGCATCACTCCAGAAAGTCCCCCCTTCACTCTCCTCTCCCGTCACATTCTCCACACTGCCACTAGAGGGATCTACCGCTTCTACAGGATGAGACTCCAGACCCCGCACCTGGAGGTTCTACAGGAACAGGGAAGTCACCCCCTCCTTCAGTCCTTCAATATGCTGTCCACCATCTACAAAGTCCAGACTCCCAGGCAGGGTACAGAAGGCCCTTCACCTTCTCTCTGTGCCTCCACCTCTGGGTTCTGTCCCCTGTCCCACCTCTGAGTAATAATCAGCCTGATGATACTCATGACAGTAATACTGAGCACTTTCTATACTCTTCTAAGAGCTTTACCACGTACTAACTCATTTAATCCTCCCAACCACCCTACAACAAAACCATTGTATTTAGCCCCATTTTATAGATGAGGAAACTAGGCTCAGAGGCATTAAAATACATTGCCTGACGTCACATAGGTAACCATCACTGGGCTGGCCCATGCTCTTAACTCTGCTCTCCTGCAGTTCCCACAACACCCCTGCTCTTCTCCCTGTGGCCTGACTCCCCTCCCCTTCTCTGCCCAGTTAACTCATCCTTAAGACTGAGCTCAAATGCCACGCCTCTGGTAAGCCTTCTATGACTTTGTGTTTCGGCGTGGCGCGTCTATTGGGATGAGTACATACTTCTTTTTTATTTTGTGAGGAAGATCAGCCCTGAGCTAACATCTATTGCCAATCCTCCTCCTTTTTTTCCCTTTTTTCTCCCCAAAGCCCCAGCAGATAGTTGTATGTCGTAGTTGCACATCCTGCTAGTTGCTGTATGTGGGATGCCACCTCAGCATGGCCAGACAAGCGGTGCGATGGTGCGCACCCGGGATCCGAACCCAGGCCACCAGTAGCAGAGCGCGCGCACCTAACCGCTGAGCCACGGGGCTGGCCCCGAGTACATACTTCTTTAATCAAACTTACAACCCATTCTGTGTGTGTCCATGTCTGATTCCTTCTCTATACAGTGAGCTCCCGAAGGCAGGGTCTGTGTTCATCTCCCTCTCCCTGGAACCCAGTAGTTGCGAGTACACAGCAGGTACTCAGTGAGTGTGTGTTGAAGGAGCGCTAGCCTAGAATGAGGACTGAAGCTTCATGAAATGGCAGACTCAACCTGGTGAATATGGATCATTCAACCCAAACGAGGAGGGGATGCAACGGATGGGAAGAGAAGCCTGTGTGTCCATGAGCAATTGGCCAAGCCAACAACGACACTCTTGGCTAACCAAGGAATGCTCACCTGCACACTCACCCTTTTTTATGCCTGTTTTTTGTTTTGTTCTTCCTATCAATTTCTAGCACAATTCCTTTGTAAAGAATGTCCACAGCAGTGAGGTGGTGGCAAGCACAGTCCCCACTGGAGAACCAGAGACGGCAGACTGGGAGCAGGCAGCTGCGCCTGAGGGCCCCTGAGGGCCCTAGCTGACTGTGCCCCTACTCTCAGGTCTTCTTACCTTGGCCAGCTGCAGCAGCAGCCCGCACTCGGCTGGGGTGAGCAGCCCGTCCAACACCGCTCGCTCCGACCCATTCAGCTGTCTCGCATCCTGGGTCAGGGTTACTCCCTCCAGGAGGAGGACATCTGCAGGGGAAGGGACAGGGCAGAGGTGGGTGAGGGTCCCCTAAGGGCAGGCCCAGCAGTAGCTGGCAGCCCCTAGACCCTCCAGGCTCCTGGCTCCTGCTCTCCCAGGAGCTTACCCTTCCAGTGAGTCAAGGGCTTCGGCTGTGGAGGCTGCTGGTCCCACGGCCTCTTCTCTTGATCCTCTCTCAGGGGTGAGAGACACGCTCAGTGGGTGCCCAGGCCAGTCCAGACCCAGCCTCTCAGGAGTCCTTCCCTCACTTCCAGCTCAGGCAGGCCCCTCCCACCACAGGCCATCTCCTACCTGAGCTTTTCTCTGAGAGCCTCAGGGATGAAAGCCGCCGGGGTCCAGGGATCCTGGGACAGCCAGGAAAAGCGCCATCACCCACCAAGTCCAGCCCTGAATCCCTGACGTTAGACTCGGAACTACCACATTAAGGTCCTCCTGCTTCCAGAGGGGAAGGTGGAGGTGGGAGAAGCCGGGGACTCACTGTCGGGAGCCCTGGGCACTGGGCCAAACTCTGTAATAATAATGATAACCATAATAACAACAACATAACCAAAACAACTTACGCAGCAGTGTTTGCCAGGTGCTATTCTAAGAGCTTTACCCATGGAAGTGGAATTTATCCTTTAAAGTTCACAATAGTCTTATGAAACAGGTAGTACGAATGTGCCCATTTTGCACTTGAGGATTCCGAGACACAGAAAGGTCAAGTAACATGCCCAAGATCACATAGCTAGTAAGTACAGAGCTGGGATTTAAACTAGCTTCGGAGTCCATGGTTCTCAGACAGGGCGATTTTGCCTGCAGGGCACATCAGGCCACGTCTGGAAACATCTGTGATTGTCATGACTCAGGATACTGACACCCACTGGGTAGAGGCCGGGGAAGCTGCTCAACATCCTACAAAGCCCAGGACAGCTCCTTCTCCTCCCCAACAAAGCTTTCAGGTCCCAAATGTCAACAGTGCCAAGAAGTGCCAAGAAGGTGGGGGAACCCTGCTTTATGCTCTTGTACTCGCTATGAATGACCTCTGCCCTTTAGCGTCCTCTCACAACTACAACAAAGAGAAACGTGGAAAAGTAGCAGCAGCACAGCTTTCTGTGCTTTGCAGCAAATGATATGACTTCAACAGCCCTCTAAGATCAGTGATTGTTCCCACTTTACAGGTAAGGAAATTGAGGCTGAGGCAAGTGACGGTCCAAAGCTTGTTTGTGGCAGAGGAGAGACCAACACGTAGGCCTGCATGACCCCAAAGCTGCCCTTAACTACAGGCACCAGCCTCTCTCCTGGTGAAACTGGACGACAGACTCCTCTCCAAGCCTCAGAGGGACGTGGAAAAATGGGAAACCATGTTGCAAACTGAAGTGACACCTAAATGTGGGGCGTTGCTGTTATTCCTCCTGGGGGAGTACTCCGGGTGAGGTGAAGTGGAGTTACTCACAGGGTCCTCGAAGGTGGCCCCCAGGTGCTCCATGGCATAGTAGAGCTGTCTCTTCTCCCCCAGAGATCGAAGGACGAAGCGCTGGATGTCCTGGGGCGGGGTGACAGCAGGGAGAAGGGGACGAGACAAGGGGAAGCTAAGTGGGGCAGAGAAGTTAAGGCAAGAGGGGAGCAGGGCAGCCTCAGGCTCTAGGGGACAGCCTGACTGCTCCTTAAACCCTGCACTGCGCCTTACCTCTCGCCTCTCCCTAAGGCTTTCCTCCCTCAAACAGCTTCAGGGCGTCTGGGCTCAAACCAGGGGAGGAGTGTGCATGCACATGTGCATAAGGTGGGGGCAGGCAGGGGTGAGGGTCAAGGAAGAGGGCTGGGCTAGCGCTTGGACTCAGAAGTCGAGTCTGAAGTGGAGACAAGTCAGATGCTGGACTTGGGGTTGCCTTTGGTGACTAGAATGGGGGGCAGGGTCCAGGTCACTTCTCCAGTATATTTGACTGACTTAGGGCCACCTCACAGGGTCAGTGCGGAGGGGGAGGTTACCTCTCTCGGCCTGAGGCCAGGTCTCGGTTCTCCCAGCTGGGCCTGGTACTGGTTCAGAGCCTTCTTGGCAGCCTCATCCTCCGGGTAGAAGAGCAGGACACTCAGGATATTTTCCACAGCCTGGGACAGATTCCCCACTGGAGACAGAGCGATAGGGTGGGGTGGGCACAGAGACCGAGAAGCCCGCATCCCACCCTGCAGACATGCTCCTCCATTGCTTCTTTCCAAAGCTTACTCAAACATACCTGAGCTGTATGAGCAGAGTTCAAAGGGGAGGAAGAGAGGACAGAATAAAGGAAGGTGAGAAGCAGCGAGGGCAGAAGGAGCCCTGTGACCCATCTCCTGAGCCTTCCACAATGGCGCCAAAGGAGAGCAAATTAGAGTCCTGAAGCGATGGTCCCCATGCAGCCCTGACCAACTATAGATCCAGAGACAGATGGGAGGGATGGAGAGATGGGGCTCAGGATACCATCAGAGAGAAACCTTCTCTCTCCCTGTTTCCAACTCTGGTCACCCCCAGGGCTCACCCTTCCTAAACTGACCTTGAGCATACGCCTCATGCAGCCGCTTCAGCTGGCTGGGAATGAAGTCAGGGACAGGGAAGCTGCGACCAGGACGTGTGGCTGTGTCCCCCACACAGCGCTGCCGGCACTGCAGGACCTGAATCCAGTGCGCTGTGGAGGACACATGAGCCATTCAGCTTGTGCGTGTTCCTCCCCCGGCACCGTGAAACCCGCACTCCCAGCTCCTTACCTGCAATGGCCTCATAGAGGCCCCCCTGCCTCCCAGCCCCTTCCTCCTCCTCTTCCTCCCTCTGCTGCTCCTCAGGCCCCTCACAGCCTGCCCGGCAGCTCTCCATCTGTGCCAGGCTCTCCTGCAGGGCCTCCTCTAGCTTGGGCACTGCCAGTCCTGCCTCCTGGCGCCCCAGGAGCTCCAGGCCAGTGTCATAGGCTGCCTGTTGGGGAGGGAAGTGGTTACCTGAGATCCTGGGGAAGGGGGTGCCAAACAAGACTGGGAAGTAGAAAGAAGGGGAGGGGTGTTGCTCTCATTTGGGGCATGGACTCCATGTCCCACTTCACCTTGGGAAGACAGGAGTGGGCCTCAGAATCAGAATGTTAGAACATGGGACTTTACAGTAATCCTCAGGCAGGAAACTAAGTCCCAGAGGGGGACTCCCCGTCCAGGGTCATTGAGGACAGTACCCAGATCTCCTGATGCCTAAGCTGCACAGGGCCACAGTCCAGCGAGGCCCCTACATCCAGCCAGTCAAAGGCTGGGGGTGGGACAGGGGTAGTGCTGAGGGTCTCACCCAGTATGGGGGTGTCTCCAGGTCCCGGAAGCTCTGGGGCCGAACCCGGGACATACGTCTGTACTTAGCCATGTCCTCCCGCATCTGCAGGTGTGTTGGGTTTGCTACAAAGAAGGTGTGTGCTGCAGCTGCTGCCAGGTCCAACTTCTTCAGCTGAGGAGCCAGGGAAGGATGAGGGAGTCAGTGCTCTGAGGTGGGAGTGTCAAACCTCTGCCCCCCCACCAGGCTTCCCACCCCAGACACACACCTGGGACTGCCGCTGAGCCTTCTGGAAGACTTGTCAGTCAGAACTGCCCATCTCCCAACCTCCAGACCCCCTAGAAACCAGTATGTTGGGACTCTAAGCAGTTTGGTAGCTAAGAAAAGGGGCTCTGAAGATTTTGGAGTGGGTGGATATGGGTAGGGGGGCCTCAGATTGGAGACAAGATGGAAGTGATGGCTAAGTGAGGTGGGGAAGTCGGGGGACCTGAGCGACCGGCAAAACCCGCAGGTCTCTAGGACCCTGAGCTGAGGTGTGTGTGACCAGCACCCCCCCTCCCCAGCCACGTAGGCAAACAGCTGCCTTATTAATAGCTGCGCAGTGTCCCTTGCCCCCGCCCCCAGACACCCGGCCACACGGGCTGTCAGCCTTGCCTCCCTTCTCTTAACTTCCCGAAGCTCCCTCCTGCCCCAAGTTAAGGCTCACACTCACCCCCCTCCCCACACTTCCTCTCCAGTGGCGGGTTTTGCCCCCAGCCGCTCCGCTTCATTCCTAAAAAGAGGCGGCGCTCACCCTCACGTCGGTCTCAGTAAGACCCACAAAAATTACAGGGCTCTTCCCTCCATCATCGATCTACTTCCAACCCGCCCCCAATTCCAACTTGGCTCCCCCTCTCTCTTAGGCTGTCCTTCTGCGACCGCAATGGGTACTTGACGTGTTTTGATAGGACCTACTCGAAGGAGAGGTCCGACAACCGCCTCCCACAGCCCCACCCCGGGTCCCGGGCGCTAGCATTCCGCCCTCTCCTGGTGAGCTCGAAGTAGGGCGCAGAGTGGATCCTGCAGGACCCACGAAACGACCGGGACTGCTCTCGCACCTGGTAGTAGGCCCTCTGCAGGTAGTTGTAGGGCTCCCGGCGGCGGAAGGCGTCCCGGATCGCGCTCCCCACGCGCAGCCGCGCCGCGCCCCCGGGGCCCAGCTTCTGCGCCCCGCACTGGGTCAGGCACTCGGCGCGGCGGAGCACGCCCCGGAGGAGCAGCCGCTCCCAGGCCCCCTGCGCCGGTCCCGGCCCAGAGTCAGGCCCCGGGGCGTCAAGGAGCACGGCGGGGAGCGCGGCGCCCGGCTCGGCCGCACAGTGCGCCCCGCAGTCCCGCCGCGCGCGGCCCAGCGCCGCCTGGCTCCGCAGTGCCTCCCGCAGCAGAGCCACAGCCGGCGCCCAAGCCCCGGCCGCGTAGGCGCGCAGCCCATCGGCATAGAGCAAGTCGGGGGCCTGAGGGGGCGCCCCCGGGGACAGCGGGGTCAGGCCGGGGGGTTCGGGGGACCCAGGAGGGGGCAGCAGCAGCAGTAACAGCAGCAACCGGAGGAGCCGGAGCATGGTGCCAAAGCCGCCGGCCGGCTGAAAGGAAATGGGGGAGCGGAAAGGGAGAGAGAGGAAAGGGAGGGGAAAGGAAGGCGAGATAGAGAGGAGGGAGGGGAAGAAGAGAGCAGGAATGAACTGGACCAAGGAGAGCTGATGGGGCCGAGACCCAACCCTGGGAGAGGCCAACAGGAGAGCTAGGGAAGTCAGAGGAAGCCCGGCAGAAAGTGGAGAGAGCTGTCGTTAAGACGAGTGGGGTAGTGTGGGACGAGAAACAGACAGTGAAGAGAGGTGGGGAAAGGGCAGAAATGGAGCCCGCCTGGGGCTTTGGAAGACAGCCTAAAGAGCCTTTTAGAACCCTTGACTCTAACCCCTGAGGCCTGTGGGGCGAGTCAGGACTGCCGCTGTGTTCCCCTCCACTCTTGGGTCCCGGAAAAGGAGTGTGGATTCCTCTCACATGCTCACCCACACACATACACTTTTGGGAAAAAGCTTTAGAATGTAGCATGGAGGAGAGTAAACTCCAGGCCTATGAAACCACATCAGGCCCAAACCCTTTCCTGCCCAGAAAGTGAGCCCCTAGGTGGGTTTTGGGGAAGGAAGAGAGTTGGGGCAAGGGGCATAGAGTCACACTCTAAAACCACCTCCCCAGATCTGAACAAAGATCCTTTACACTCTAAACCAGCAAACTCAAGTGTCTCCCCATCCCCCCAGCATGAGATGCTCTTATAAGCCTGTCTCTGTGTTGTCTGCATGTCTTTCTCGGTGTGATTTCTGTGCCTCTGTCCACTGCCCCTGCTTTATTTCGTCCCCTATGAGCCACTCCACCCCCAAGCCTCTGACCACATCATTTGCCACCCTAGTACACTGGACACAGAGGTTTCCATGGTAACACTTCAGACTTTAATACATTTGCTAGGGATGATGGAATGGGAGTAGGGCATCTGGTCACTTGGATGGGAGACAGCAGGGGCTTGAGGGCCCCAGATCCAGTGCCCATCTCCCTGGAGTCTGGAGGCAGCTGCTGTAGGCTCAGGGCCAGAAGGAGGTGTTACCCAGTCCCCCTCCTCTGAGTCCAGCAGGCCCACCTGGGCTCACAGGGTCAGCTGGGGGAAGATGGGGTTACCTGGGCCCCAGGATCCTCCCCAAGCTCTTGCACTCCCCTCACCTCCTGTCAGGGAGCAGCGTCTCCCTGCACTTAGCCCCAAAGGAAGTCCAAGGGCTCTGCTATCAGGTGATCCAAGGGAGAGTCGGCGGGGTGAGAGGCCCAGCGGCCTGGGCCGGCGGGGAGAGGGCCCTGGTGAGGCCGTCGGAGAAGGCAGAGGTGTCTCGTCGATGAAGGTGGTGATCTCCTCCCGGAAGAAGCCAGGACCCCGTGGGGGTCCCCCACCTGACCCCAGAACCCCACCCTCCAGGAATTGGCGAAGGCTGGCCAGCCCCCCACCTTCAGCCTCCTCTTCATCCTCCTCATCTTCCAGCCTTTGTCTTCGTCCTAGGTACTCAGGAGGGCCCCCCAGGGCCCGGCTCTGGGCCGGGAGGACCCGAATGTCATCAGAGGATGACCACTTGTGCAGAAAGGAGCCTGGTGCCCGAGGAGTAGAGAAGATGTTGGTCTCATCATGGGACAGACGGCGGGACAGAGGGACCTGGGGAGAGGAGCAAGTAGACCCAGAGGTGATGCAGGGACAAAGGGGTAAAGGCAGGAACCAGTGGGGACTCTGCAAGACGGCTCCACCCCCTTAAACATTTGCAAAACATCCTCTGATGGGCAACTCTGGTTCTGAGAGGTCTAAAGGGGACCCTTTCTTGCCATGCCTTTCTCTCACCTACCCCTTATGTGCCCTGTAGGCCAGGGCTCGGGAATGAGGGGGCTGCGATGGATAACAGAGACTGGAGCAAAGTAGTGAGGGCATACCCAGAATAGGAGGTGTCTTCCCTAGTTCCATACCTGTAAGTACTGGACCCTCTCCAGAGGGGGAAAGAGCATGTGCCTTCCAGGCAGCAGCTTCACCTGGGTGGGGTCCCTGCTCCCTGGTCCTGTGGCCCCATTAGCATCAAAGCGAACTTTGCACACTCGGCCATCTGCATAGTCATCACAGGCCCCATCTAGGAGAGAAAAGGGGCAGAGGGGTTACAGGCAGGGAATACCCACCCCCTCCCCGCCCCCTTTATAAGCTCTGGGGAGTATCCTCTGTTTCCACTAGTCTGTAAGCTCCAAGAGGAAAGTGAGAGTGGCTAGCATCTGTTGTGTTCAGTGCTGAACCCCTGGTGCTTCACACATGTAAACATATTTATTGAAACAATTACTCCCCCCCAAGAGCTGTCCCTATAGCTGGGGATCTCAGGAAGCTTAGCCTCCCCTTAGTTCCACAGCCTTCCTTATGGTTGTGTTAGGACTCCGGACTGTTTCTCAGGCACTCTGCCCCACGGAGGCAGAGCTGGGTAGTGTGGGCTTGCAGAGGGGAACTGATGCCCAATGGAGGGAGCCCTCAGTGCAGAAGGAAGCAGTTGGGTGTGCGTCAGGGTGCTCATAGGGAAAGGGGAGCCTGCAGTCAGCCCAGGGGCGGTGCAGGTTCTGTCCAGCAGGGGGCACTCCGGGGCAGCCCGTCCCCGCACAGAGCAGGGGTGGTAGAAAAGGGAGCCGATGACCTAGAAAGCAAAAGCCCAGTCCCTCCTCTGACCGTCGTCACCATCCTCCTCCGACATGATAGCCACGCACTGCTCCCACACCGTCCGCACGTCGGCGCGGTAGCGCTCGCAGGACCAGATGAAGGAGGGCAGCAGCAGCGTCTGTGCCATGGAGCACCACAGCACAGCCAGCACCATCCACGGGGGAGCCGAGTCCGACTTAAGGGAGAAGAAGCTCACCACCTGGTGGGGGGATGGGGAATGGCGCCCGGTCAGGCCCCAGGGCTGAGGGGGCCCATTTGACCCCACATCCGATACCCTAGTGCAGCTGGTGGGCAAGAAGTAAGGAAGGGATGGCCCGAATCACATAGGATCATGACAGAGGCAAAGTTGGAGGTGAAGATGGGATGAACAGTGGGGAACTGACTGACTCAGAGGAAGGTTGGGGGAGAATACTGGAGACAAAGCCTTGGGGTCCAGAGAGAGAGGAGCAGAGGTGGTACAGTAAACTGGAAGACAGAGAAAAATTCATGAATAAGAATTAGATGGGAATGCAAAAAACTGGGGTGGCAGGATGAGCTATCTGGGGTTTCCACCCGAGAGTGCTCAGAGACTCTGTGGTATCCAGAGGGAAACAGGGAATGGAGAGTGGAGCTCGGCAGCTGGATGATACATCTGGGGGCTGAATAGTGGAGCCACAGGATAGATGATGGAGCTGGAGAACAGGCAGCAGAACTGAAGGACTCATCTGTTGAGTGGAGTTGAGTGGTGGGAACTGGAAAACAGATGATGGAGCTGAGGGTAATGGGAACTAGATGATACAGATGGGGGCTCACAAATGGAGTGGGAATGGGTAGAGGAGAGGAAGATGGATGATGGAGCTGCTGTATGGCTGATGGAGCTGGAGGTCAGGTGATCATGCTGGGGCCTGGATATTGGGGAGAGCAGATGGAGGGACCCAATCTCACCAAGATGGGCACCCCTGTAAGTGAGTCATAGAGAAAGACGATGGCGCTGACCAAGTTGGTGACCTGTAGGGATGTCTTGGCCGACTCAGAGCCATCCAGTGAGGACCGCCGCTTCCCTCGGGCATCCTCCACCACAATGGCTGGCACCTCAAAGGCTGGCCGGGTACCCAAACCCCCTGGCCCACCCCCCTTGGCCCCACCCATGCCCCCTGCTCTCCGGGCCTGCCGAGCCCTCCGGGGCCGGGCCCACAGTGTCTGGTAGAAGGTGATGGCCACACAGACCAGCCCCATGACAATGCCCCCAAGTAGCAAGAGGCTGAAGCAGACGCCAAAACCGAGGCCAATCTTGGAGACTATGAACTGGCAGCCACGGGCATAGTAGCGCTCGCCATTGTTGTGCCAGCCAATGGAAGGCAGTGTGGAGAGGATGAAGCTGACCATCCAGATGCCCATGACGGCATGCAGTGCCTGCTTCTTGGCGTTGCTGAGGCGGTAGTTGACGGGCCAACGCACCATCCACATGCGATGGTAGGAGAGGGAGGCGACCGTGAAGCAGGTAGCCAGGGCCAGTGTGTAGTAGGTGGACACAAAGACCTTGCATATGCTCTCATTCCAGTCATAGTCAGAGGAAGCCTGGCGCCGTAGCTGCACCACAGCGAAGGTGGTGAGGGGCACAGCCGCCATGAGTATGTGTGTGCCTGCCAGGAAGCAGAGCAGCAGCTCCAGCGGCTTGTGCTTCTGCTGCTTGGCCGAGATGCTGAGGATGATCCAGGCATTGGCCAGCAGTGCCAGGAGCCCACAGGCCAGCCAGGACAGCGCGTTGGAGCGCAGGGAGGCCTCCTCTGCCCCCACCCCGCCCCGAGCCATCCTATCCTCGGCCCCCCACCCCCCTTGAACTCCTGGGGGTGGGGGCTAGGTCTCACCCAGGAGCCCCACTCACACACATCCCCATGATGCCCACAGTCCTTGCCCTGTGGTGAGGCAGGCCACCCCTAGGCCTATGCTGGTGTTCAGCATTGCATGACTGACCCAGCTAAGGTCAGGTATGGAGGGCTGGGGAGGAGACTGAGGGTCAGCAGAGGTAGCCCTCAGCTTCCATACTGGGTGGGGCCCTTCCTGAAGTCTCCCGTTAGTGGATGGGGGGGCGGGAAGCTGACTGCTTTCCCAACTATGAGGCTGGCTGGGGTGCTCTAGTCCCCATGCCGGGACTTGCAGGTCTCTTCTTCCTCTGGTTCTTGACCAGTCAGGGATCTTCTGGATGCCCCAAGGGATGTGGGGTGAGGCTCAGCCACCTGGACAAACTGCAAGGGAGAGATGAGATGTGGGAGGGGAAGGGCGGAGGTAGGGCCTAGGCTGACCTCCAACTGGCTTCTTGCTCCCCCCCTTCTCTTGAAACTAAAGAAATGACTGATTACTAGTGGTCATGGGATCTTTCAGAACATTCTCCTGCCTTAAATCAGAAGGCCCCTCAACCACACAGATAAGATCCCTGCTTCCCAGACCTCCAGGAAAGGTCTTCTGACCTCTTGTCACCCATCCTTTTTCTGGCCCTTTCCTGCCTCTGGTACTCCCAGCTTCCTTCTTCTTATATCCCCTGCTCAGTACCACTCAACTCTTATCTTCATGTCCCTGAACCCTCTTCAGAGCTACTTATAGCAGACCCATGACTTGTTTCTTCTTGAGGGTTCATGGTCAGCTGGGCTATGGTATCACAGCCCCTCCCCATCTTCCAGGCTCCGGGCCCAGTGGTCTTGGTGCTCAGCCCCATTTCCCCAAGCCTGCATGATCGCCCTCCAGCTCACCAGGGATCTGGGAAGATGGGAGAAGGAGGCTGGGACCGAGAGGGGGCTAGGGAACCCGAAGGCGGGGAAATCACTGACATCAGAAGCATCCAGAAATGGAAAGAGGGGGAACTAGGGGAAGGAAGAGAGTTTGAGCAGAAAAGAAAGAGGGGCAAAGTGATAGTATCTGAAAATAGAAGAAAAGCCCAGAGACCCCACAGGAGGCTTTGGAGGGAGGAGGGTTTGGATGCAGGGAGGGAGCAGGGAATAGGGAGGCTGTGAAGAAAAGCCCAACATTCAGTAAGGTGCTGACTCCCGCTGGCAAACCTCGCTTCTTTCCTCCTCTGCCCCAGCCTCAGTTTCCCTCTGATGGGAGGGAGGGTACTCCTGAATTTCCTGACGCTGAGCTTCAGTAGCCCTGGGGAGGGGGCTAAGAGAAATCGGTGAAACCCTGAACAGAGTGGAGACCGAAAGGATGGGCATAACGGCTTTGGGGTAAATGGGGGTAAAAATGGGGCACAGCAGTGGGAAAGTCTATTTGCTGTGTTAGAACCTCAGACCCTTGCCCTCCCCAAGAGGTCCTAGCCCACCCCCCACCTTTGTTTTCCCTCCAGAGCCCAGTACACCTAGTTGCCATGGCAATGGCCAGCCAGAGGGAGGTGGAGGGAATTGGTCAGAAGCAGCCCCCCACTAACCTCCCCTACAGCCTTGGACCCCTTCCCACTCACCTCCACCCAGGCCCAGCGGGTGGGCTCAGGCAGAAAGAGATGGGGAGTCAGAGAGGGAGGGAGGCAGGGAGGATGTGAAGGACAGAGAGAAGGTGGTGAAGGACAGAGAAAGATCAGAGGAAGGTGGGAGGGGGATCTAGGGGACTCCATAGCGGACAGGGGTCCCTCACCCTTGGGGGTGAAGGGGTAAGGTCAGGCGGCTCCTCCCTCCTGCCACCCACCTCGTTCTCCAGGGCAGAAACAGCAGGTGGCCGGGGAGGAGGGGCCGGCCTGGGGGGAGAGGAGGCAGAAGGGGGGAAGAGGGGAGGGGACCGCGGGGGACAGGGCAAGGGTCGTCCTACCTCTGGCTGCGCCTGGCACTGCCGTGGAGACCGCACTCCCGACGCGGCTCGCCCGGGCTCCCGCCGCCTGCCGGCTCCAGCCAGCCCGCCCTCCTCCCTCCCTCCCGGCCTCCAGGGCTCCCTCCTCCCACCTTGGTCCCAGCCTCGCCGGCTCAGCCTGCGGCTCACTCGTCTCTGCCCCCTAGGTGTCTCCAAGCCCCTCTCTCCGGGAGTCACCCTGTCTGTGGGCCCCGGGTCGGGGGGACTGAAGGAAAGCTTTTCGGGGGGAGGGGGCCGAGTGTAGGGCGGGGACTGGACGGTAGCGACTTGGAGGAGGAGGGGCGAGGAAGGCACTGAGAGGGAGGGGGGAGAGGAGGATGGCGGGGAACCGGCTTTATTGGTGAAATGGTTCGTGTCCTGCCCCCACTCCACCCCGCTTTTCAACATGAACACAGGCTCTAAGAGGCAGCTGGTGGTGTTCGGGGACTGAGGAGCTAGCTGTTCCAGGAGGAGGAAGTGTGTGTCACCGTGTGTCACTGTGTGTATCTGTGTGAGCGCTATGCCTGGGGTGTAGCTCAGAGGGGCCTGTGCCGGAGGCTGTGGGGAGTGAGGGGCCCTTGTGATGAAGCTGGGGCTGCTTGCGGGGTGGGGGGTAGGCAGGTCTAAGAGGATGCGGGTGTGGGGCGTGCGCAGGCACACACACACACCACTTCCTCCTCCTGGAACACAAACTCACACTTACGTTAGGGATACACGCAGTTCACGTTACAGTTTCTCATAGTCCTTTCTCTCCACTATACACATACACAGGTGTAGTGCACACAAGCCCTCAGTCTATCTACCGCACACGTGTGATTACAAAGTCTTAGCCTCACACACACACAAACACAGGGCCCTTTGGGGTGGGTAGGTGGGTAATCAGCCTCCAAAGAATTTTTCCCTCCCCAGGGAAACTTAGTCTCCTTCCTGGGGCAAGTCTGGCAACCTCTCTTCTGGGTCTGACCCCAAAGATCAGAAGATTCCAAGTCCCCAGAGAAGAGTCCACTTCTCTCCCTCCCTCTCCCTCTCCCTCTCCCTCTCCCACACACACACACACACACACAGACACACACAAATGAAGACCATCTTTTTTTTTCTTTTGTGAGGAAGGTTAGCCCTGAGCTAACATCTGTGCCCATCTTCCTCTATTTTATATAGGACGACTCCATAGCATGGCTTGATAAGCAGTGCGTAGGTCCGTGCTCAGGATGCGAACCTGCGAACCCTGGGCTGCCAAAGCAGAGCGTGCAAACTTAACCACTACGCCACCCGGCCGGCCCCAGGAACATCTTCTTTATAATATGTTTATTGTATTTTTCTGTCAGCTCAGGGGGCAGGAGCGAGGAGTGGGCAGGAATACACAGCAAGCAATGGGGGGCCCCCCAGGCAGCAGTTGGGTGTTCTTCCTGCAAGAGGCAAGCTGGAAAGAAAGGAAAAGGGAAAGGAGATCGGGACTGAGAGACACAGTGAGAAAGGGAAGGAAGGAGAGGCAGAGGAGGTAGGGATCCTGAGAGAAATGGACCAAGGGGAGGGGGAAGAAGAATACTTGTCATCTCAGTTTCCTATGTCTTGGGGGAGGGATGAAGGAGGGTGCAAGGCAGGGGCACTGAGGCCCAGCACTATCACCCTTCACAGGAGGTCTCCTCAGAGTTTCACTCTCAGGCGGGGTCCGCACCCCTTCCCCCTGGCAAAGCTCACCTTCCAGAAGGTTCTGCACAGGGTGAGTGGCAGGTCACTGGGCACACTCTCCCACAGGGTCTGTGCCTCCCAGCCTGTGCTCTGATTAGGAGAACTGAAGGCCCTGTCCTCTGATAACAAGATTCTGCCTCCAGGAGGTGACAAAGGAGGGATTTTAGGCAGGGAAGCCCTCCTCCCTGCTCCTGAACTCTCTGAGGCAGGCCCTCCCTGTCGTGTTGTGCTCCTGTGAATCCAGAGGTGCATACTGGGCATCTGTGACTAGCCAGCAGAGCTCTGTGCAGTATTTGTCCCTGCGCTCAAGACACAGCAGTGGAATTAGGGGGCAAGAGACCTGGGCTAGTCCTGACTCTGGTACTTTCTAGCTGTGTGACCTTGGGCACATCTGACCTTTCGAGTTCCATTTCTGGTCTATAAACTGGAGGTACTAATCTTGGTCTCATCACTACCAGCCTTGTAGGATTTTCATAAGGTTCAAATAGACAAACGATGTGAAACTTGTTTGTACACTGAGACACGCTGCTTGGGTGATAAGGAGTTGTGTCTGTGCACAAGTGTGGGCTGTGTACGTGGGTGTGTGTCCAGGGGTGCCTCTTTGTGTACAGGTCAGGATGAGAGTCTGTGGCACAGCCCACACAGGGCAAGAAGCAGGCAGAATGGAGCAGTGGGGGCTGGCAGTCAGGAGCCTTTGGATCTGGATCTGTCCTTGAACTGGCTGTGATTGGGCTAGTCCCTGCCCTCTCTGGTCCCAGGGTCCTCTCCCTTAAAATGACAGTCCTGTGCTTCACGCTTTAGAGGCCCAGCTTCACTCTCCAGGCCAGGCGGGGCTGGTCCCACGTGCTTCCCTGGGATCCAAGTGGGCAGTGGGGGAAGAGAGCCAAGAGGAAATAATCAAAGGGCTAGGGCTTGAGTGAAGAGGAAATGGGAAGAGATGGTGTGCACAAGCCTCTGGAAGAGGAACACCCATGGCCAAGTGTGGACAAGGAGAGCAGGAGACGGCCAGAGGCGCTGGGATCTGCTACATTCATCTGGTCCACAGGTCCAGGAGCCCAAGAGGAACGCAGGGAAGACAGCTGGGGAGGCAGCAAGTGGGAAGCATCCCCGGGCCGGTGCCTCAAATGAGGTTACCTGTCTTCTGGAACCGGCTAGAGGAACAAAGAATAAGAGAAGCAAGTCTATTCCTCCCCAACTCCTTTGCGTTCTAGGGTGTCCACGGCACCCAGACCCCACTTTTGTCTTCCAGTTCAGTGATGGCCTCTGGGCCACAGCCACGGTGCCACATCCAGAAATATCCCAGGCCTGCTGCCCCTTCACCTCCGCCCTCCACCTTCTGCCTGCTTCCTACCTGCTCAGCCACCCATTTTCACCCTTCTCTGCTCCACCACCTCCGTTTAGCCCCTATCTCCTCACCTCCATCCCCCCTCCCTCCTCATCCCCTCCCTTTCCTCTTTTCTCCACCCCGCTCCTGCCCTCCTCTTTCCTCCTTTTCCCACCTCTCTCCCTCCCTCCCCTTCCGTCTCTCCCCCCAGCTCCTTACTGGGGGCACTGGCAGGTTTTCTTCTCACTGAGGAGTCTCTTGATCTGAGACATCCGTTCTGCCTGGCGCTGTCCAGGAAGAAGGAGGGGAGTCGTGAGGGTCTCAGGCCTCCAGAAGGGAGGTGCCCCTTGGGGGGGGGGCGAAGCTGGGAGAGGAGAAGCAGTTACTGTGGCTGAGGCCATCTGTCCCAGAATTAACTCTCTGCTCCTTCCTGTGTCTCCCTCCGCATGGGGTCTGGGACATGGCCCGGTCTGCAGTTGAGGGGATTCCGCGGTGGGCAGAGAGAGCCAGAGCAAAAGCAGGCAGGTGGCATATACTAAATGCCCTTGTTGCTCTACAGGTCTCATGTGCTCTAGAGTCCTGTGCGGGTGAGCGGGGTGTGGGGAGGCTCACTCACCCTGCGGTGCCAGCACTTAACACAGCAGAAGATGAAGACCCCAGTGAAAAGCAGAAGGCCTGCGATCCCCCCCAGCACGATGGCCAGGAGCTTTGGCCAGGCTGGGGTGAATGGTGTGGGCGAAACTGCAAGAGAGAGAGGGGTGTCCAGTTTGCTGCCCTCCGTCAGGGCACAGGGCACCCTGGAGGGCGGGGGGAGGGCCTCGCTGCCCAGCCACGCTTGGGACAGACCCATGGGCTGGGAGAGCAGGGTAGCATGTGCAGGGCCACCAGGGTTGGAGGGGAAAGGCTGGGGAAGAGCTTTTAAGGTCTAGAGACTACAGGGCACTCTGGGGAGGTAGAAGTAGCAGTCCCAGCCATGTGCCGTGTGTGTGTGTGTGTGTGTGTGTGTGTGTGTGTGTGTGTGTGTGTGTCTGGGTTTGGAGAGGAGCCAGGAAGGGGGGCTCTTGGTCATGTGGGCCCCATTCCTGGGCTGTAGACCTTAGGGAGGTGGGAACCTGCAGGACACAGGTGGGAACCTACAGCCTGGGACCACACCCCACCTCACCTCATCAGCCCCATGTGTCCAGGCACCATATGTATAAGCCACCCATCTCAGAGAAATTGGAAGGCTGGGACTCTGGGTGGTCTCCGCCAATCCTGGGAAAGTCCCACACTGAGGAGGCAGGGAGTTGGGGTTAGGATATGGGATCTGGATCCTCACTCACCCTCGACCTTGGATTCCAGCAGGACTTTGCCATCGTCACTCAGTAGACACTGCCATATCCCCGCCACAGGGTCCAGCACCTTCACCAGCTTCTGCTGATTTGAAACTTTTGCAGTCTGGTTCTCCAGCTTCAAGCTCAGCATCAGCTTCGGGGAGGTGGGTCCAAGCACCTCACAGGTCAAATCGTTCTGGGACTTAGTCACTGCAGGGGGACCAGAACCTGAGCCTGGGAGCCTGGACCTCTGGGTTCCCAGCACCTGCATGCTCTAAGGGGATTTAGTAGGACAATCAAAATGGTATTTCACATGAGCGCCCTTCTTTTAGCCTCTCAGAGCACATTTTCATGCAGTTAAAATAAAGAAAACACAGCTTTTAAGGTCCAAGTGTGTTGGGCTTGAATCCCAGTCCCACTGCTAATTAGCTGTGTGTCCCTGAGCAAGTTACTTAACAACCTGAGCCCCGGACAATAATTAAATCCACAAATACATGTAAAGCTCTTGAATGGGGCCTGGCAGGTCCTAAGCATCAAGTATTAGCCATTATTATTTACAGAGTTGTTATGATGATCAAGAAGCTAAGAAGTGAAGAACTCCATGTAGAGCCTGACCTCATCATCACCACTATCCTCCTAAGAGCAGATTTTGTTATCCTCATTAGGAGAAAGTAGGCCCGCAGAGCTAGGGGGCTTAGTCAGGGTCCTAAAGGGCTAGGCAGAGGTAGAATTAGAACTCTGGGTCTCAGCGCATGCCCTTTGGGGATTCTCAGTGGAGCCTGCCCTCAACAGTGGATTCTAGTCTCAGTTCAAAACCAGCCCCCCTGGGCCAGCCCCGTGGCTTAGCGGTTAAGTGCGCACGCTCCACTACTGGCGGCCCGGGTTCGGATCCCGGGTGCGCACTGATGCACTGCTTGTCCGACCATGCTGAGGACGCGTCCCACATACAGCAACTAGACGGATGTGCAACTATGACACACAACTATCTACTGGGGCTTTGGGGAAAAAAAAGGAGGAGGATTGGCAATAGATGTTAGCTCAGAGCCTGTCTTCCTCAGCAAAAAGAGGAGGGTTAGCATGGATGTTAGCTCAGGGCTGATCAGCTTGATTAGGCAACCAGGGCCTAGGCCTCCCTTTGGGGGCCTGTCCTGTCTCTGAGGGAGCCCTGGGCCAAGCCCCTCCGCCATCTGCCCCTGTCCTCCCCTTCTAGCCCAGCTCCTCACCTCTCATCACCACAAGGTTCACTTCCTGTTTCAACTCGCCCTTGGCAAGGACCAAGCTCAGGTTTCCAGAACCAGCATACTGAGGCAAAGCCTGGGGCAGGGTGAAGCGGAGTGGGAGCATCTCCTCCATCCAGAGCTTTAGGTCAGGGCGAGCCTTTTTCAAAACCACCTTCCTGTTCTCCAGGGAGAATGAGATCCAGAGCTGCGAGGAGGAAGCCCCCTCCACCTGCCATGTCAGCTCCCCTCTCAGGTTGTCCTCTGCGAAGGTAAGTGGGAAGGAGAACTCCACCTGCTTCCCCTCTTTCGTATAGACTGTGTTAGAGACTTTCTGGAAAGCTGGAGGTGGGAAGGGAGAGAACCTAGGTCAGAAGGAGATAGGAAGATGAGGGTGAACAGGGTGGTGTAGGCATGTGGGGAGGCAGCAAAGAGATGGAAAGGGACCAGGTGAGGCCAAACACCTAGGTTGCCATTCAAGCCCTTACATCCCATCTACCTCTCCAATCTTTTCTCTCGGCTATCCTCCCCAGCATGTTCCCACGGCAGCGCCCCCTCCCCCTGGAAGCCCTCATAGAACAGCCCAGCCACAGGGGGGCCTCTCCTCCTCAGGGTCCCTGGAGCACAGAGGACATTTGGCCTGCACTACTTAACATGCGTAATTTATCACCCTTCACGAAACAGGAGCAAATACTTAAATCGGGCTGACTCCGTGCCAGGCACTGTTCTCCATGTGTTACATGGATTAATTCTCGCCATAACACTACAAGGCAGGTACTTTCTCAGTGAGCATCATCCCCACTTTACAGATGCAGAAACCAAAGCACAGAGAGGCTCACTAACTTGCCCAAGGTCACATGGTTAAGTCAGAGCCAGGAGTTAAATCAGAGTCCATGCACTTCACCACCACACACCCTACCTCCTGTCACATAAGCACCTGGAGGATAGGATCTGGGGTGGGACCTGCATTCTGGGCTCTTGGTTTCCCCCACAGAGCCTAGCTCAGTGTTCTAAAGGTGTGGTGTAGCATTCATCAGGGCTGGCTTGCTGGTGTTAGTGTCCCTGAGTAAGTGGATTTGCTAACTTGGTGGGAGTGGGGAGCTGAGGCAACATAGCAAATAAATGCCCTTGACGCTCCTCCTTTGGGGCCTCCTCCAGGGATCTCTGGGGCCCCCACCTCCTTATACCCCCTATCCTTCCTTCCTCCGTGTCCACCACCCTGAGGGGTCCTTACATTCCTTCCTCCACATCCACCACCCTGAGGGGTGCCTGTTAATCAGCACCCTGAGGAATAGAGGGCCCAGTGTATTCCTCAGGACAGACTTCAGCTCTAGGGGGGCCTCGCCTCATCTACCCTCTGTCCCCCAGCACCAGACCCAGGAGCAGAGCAGAGAGAACAGAGAGAGGGCCTGTCAGCCGCTGCGGCAGGGGGAGACTGCAAGGGAGACGAGCTCCTCTTACCCAGCACCAAGATGTTTATGTTGAACACCAGCGTCTTCTGGTCCTGGGAGATGGTGCATGTCCAGGTGCCACTATCCTGCACCCCGACCTGGGACAGTGAGAGGCTCTTGGCTCCATTCTTGCTTTTATTCCCAGGGCCTTTCCATTGCACCGAAGGGTTACTACCAGACGGGCTCTCCAAGGTCAGGGTCAGGCTCTGCCCTGGCAGCAGGCGGATGCTGCTGTGGGTGTCCGAGCTGGCAGTCACTGTAGAGGGAGCAGGCCACCTGTGTCACACACACACACTATCCCCAAGGAGAAAGGAAGAAGCCAAGAAACCAAGAGTCTCTCTATTACCCCGTCCCAACATCTCCCTTCCTGCCAACAGCCAGCTGCCCACTCCCAGCCAAAGGCAGGGTTTCCTTCTCCCCTCCTCTTCATCCTCCTCCCTGCTCCCCTCCTCCTCTCTTCCCTTGTCTCTCTCCCTCCTTCCTCTGGCTCCTGCCCTTCTCTTTCTCCCTCTCTAGGTCTCTTCCTCTCCCCCTGCCTGACCCAAGGCCTGAGGAGGTTTTGAGGAGATGTGGTGGCCAGTCTGATCCATCTCTGGACTGTTGAATACCACCAGCTGAGGCCCTGGTTTTGGTGCAGGGATGGGAGTCAGGGAGGAAGGGAGATTGGCTGGAGGTATTCTCATCCCAGGCCTGCCCCACTCACATCTGAACACCAGCAATTCCACCTCTGTCTTCTTGTCCTCCACTTCACAGATGTAGGTCCCTGAGTCTGTTACTTCAAGATTCTTGATGATCAGAGGAAAGGATCCTTGGTCCCACAGGTTTTTTTTTGTTTCAACGCGATCTTTCAGCTTGGAGAGACCTGGGAGTAGAAGCCGTATGGAGGAGGTTGGGGTACTCTGGAGACATGGTACTCCTGGCGAAGGCAGTGCCCCCAACTCTTCTGAGTTGCTAATTTCCTACAGAATCTGCCCCTCATCCTAATCAGAGAACCCCAGACTGGCGAGGAGTTCCCATCACATTCATTTACCTGGCTGGGACAATGTCTCACTAATCCAAAATAAAATAATATTCCCATTTAGAGAGCACCAACTCAGACATGCCAGATACTTTACATGCACTATCTCAAGTAATCTTCACAACATTTGCAAGCAATAGGTCATGTTTTGCTTATTTTGCAGAAATGGAAACTGAAGCTCAAAGAGATCAAGTAGTTGCCCAAACTCTTACTTACACATTGTCAGCAGGAACATAAACCGGCACAATTTCTTTAGAAGGTAATTTGTAGTATCTACCAGAATTACAAATGCACATACAAAAGTAAATGTCCACCAAGAAAGAAAAGGTTAAATAAATTATAGTTCACCCATTCAGTGGAACGCTGTAAGGGAAGAATGAGGAAGCTCTTTATATATGAGATGGAATGATGTCTAAGAAACATCATTAACTGAATAAAGCAAGATATTAAACAGGCCACCATTTGTTTAAAAAGGAAGGGGAAATTTATCTATCATCTATCTATCTATCATCTATCAGTCTATCATCTATTGCCTTGCATATGAAAAAATATTTCTGGAAGTAAACCTAAGAAAATGGCAACCTTGGTTGCCTCTGAGGAGAGGACATGAATACCCATGAGACAGGTGTGGGAGGGGGCCTTTTCACTATAAACCTTTTCCTATCTTTTGAATTTTGACTCCAGTAAGGGGTGGAGCCAGGATTAAAATTCAGGCCTGCTGGGTACACTATGCAGTACTGTCTCTGGAAAGTTCCTCAGGCATGGATTTGTGGTCTCCTCCAGTCTCCTCTTTTAGTATCTAACAACCATCACCAAGAGGAAGTTCTCTTTAGCTAACCGTTTTCTGGGTGCAGCAGCAGCTCCAGAATTCCTGTAGAGGTGAGCTTCAGAAGATAAATATACATCCAAACACACAGTTTTTTACTTAGAATGCATGTTTGGAGGGATGAGGTGAAGGTGGCTGAGATAAAGCCCCCACCTTCACGCCCCTGGGCACCACTTCTGCCTCCCTGAGCAGTCACAGGCCCTCTCTCTAGGTGCAGGAGACTGGATGTCTTGTCGGCCCTGCAGTCTCCCTTCTCTCTTCCAGACTTCATATCCCCTCCCCCACTGCTCAGGCTCATCCTCTCCCTGAGACCTTTCCAGATAAACTGTAGCCTTGGGCTGTCCCTCCAGCCTCACCAAACTCCCCTTTCATTTGTCTTTTCAGTAGTTCCTACCCTACTGCTCTTTCCCCTGGATCAACACATTGGTTTAGTTCCCCGATTTTTCTGAAATCCTACTACATTCTTTTCATGATTTACCAAACTTCTTGAAAGAGTAGCTCCTCTGTTTCTGCCCCCTTTTAACCTCTTGTGATTCTCTCCTCCGTATCTAAGCACTATTCCCTTTTCTTCACCTTGGACTCTTGTTCTGGCATCTACATTTAGGTGTTACCCAGACTCTGTCTAGGATTCTCTTCCCCATTTCTCCAAACATTCTAAATCCCACTGCCTCCCCTCTCAGCTCTGCAGATGACTCCCAAATTGATCTTCCCAGACCCAACCTCTCTCCTCAATTCTGGACCCTCATTTCCAGTGGCCCAACAAATTACTTTATCTGAATATCCTGCCCTCACCCAAAACTCACCTGGTTCAAAATGAAATGTGTCAACCTTTCCTAAAATAGCTCTTCCTCCCTACTTCATTTTTCCTTTTCTGGGCTCCATCCTGGCCCACTTGTCCAGGCTGTCCTATACTTTGTAAAAGTGATTGCAAGGTGGCATGAAAGGTCTAAGAGTATGCGTGAGTTTGGGATAAATTCATGGAGGAGACCAGTATTGAACGGAGCTTTAAAAGTATAGGCAGTGGCCTGGAGGAAAGGGAGCAACGGTGACAACCAGGAAGTGATACCGGCTCAAGACAAGGTTGGTGTGGGGGAAGCCATGTTATAGAAAGGAAACCCTGTTGTGACTTTGAGTGGCCTCTGACAAACTAGCCTGGCTGGATATGCACCCTCCATGGATATGCACCCTCCAGGAGATATAACTGCTACGTTGATTTTGCAGCCCCTGCCTATGCGTGTGCCTCCCAGCTGTGATGAGATGATAGCTTTGTTCTTTTGGGTTCCTTGGGAGTGTGATGACCCCCAGGCAGAGAGTCTGTGCTGATAGCCATCATCAATGAGGACTGGAGGATATGGTGTGGTGACTCCCAGGCTGTGGGACCGGAGGGTCAGCATTCCTAGGCCCCTCCCCTGTAGCCCACTGGCCTATATAACTGCTGTAAGATTTGTGCTCCCTTAAGATGGTTTTTTTTTTAGACATTAGTCAGCCATCTTCCCTCTTGCTAGCAAGCTGTAATAATAAAGTCCTTTATTTCCTACCACCTTGCCTCTTAACTATTGGCATGTCTTGTGGTGAGCAGAAGGCCCACGTTGGATGGTAACGGAGGGGGGAAACGCTCCAGGGAAGCAGTACAGGAACCACCTCAAAGCTGTGAGGAAGTCAACCGGGGTAGGAAGCTGTGGGAAGAGATGCTGAGGGAGTGAATGTCCTGTGGAGGCTTCTAGGCTTAGTCTAATGGATGAGGGAGTGACAGGTGCAAAGCATTGCTTTGGAAGTCAGTGCTGCAGCAGGTGGAAAAGAAATTAAGGTAAGAGAGACCAGTAGCGGAGAGAACTGCCAGGAAGCTTCCACTGTAATCCAAGTGAGGTGTATGCGGCCTTTGGCTAATGAGGATGGCATTCCCATGGGAACAAAGAAGCTCAAACAAAAACACTTCCAAAGGAAGGAATGGCCATAGTCGGGGAACCGGGGATTGAAGCAGAGAAAGAAATTTGACTCTGTGGTTCAGAAATTGGAGGAGTCAGGAGAGTGATAGTGCCCTCCTTAGAGATAAGGAAGTTGGGAAGGAGAGCTGTTCTGGAGGAAAAGCAAATCATAGAATCAGAACAAAAGCATTGACACAAAAGACCTAAGAATTTTTAGAAAGGGGTAAATTGTTTCAATCTCACAGGCGATCAAAGAAATGCAAATTAGAACAACAATGATATTCAACTATTAAATCAGCAAAAAAAAAGTTTTAAATAATACTACTCAGTGCGGGCAAGGGTGTTAGGAAGAGAGGCACACAGTGACATTAACTAGACTTAGTGTAAATGGACAGAGCCTTTCTGGAAGCAATCTTGCAGTATACACCAACTATTTATAGAAGTTCATATCCATAATTTCATTTCTAGAACTTTATCCTTAAAATAATAACTTAAAAATGCAACCCTGGGCTGGCCCCGTGGCTTAGCGGTTGAGTTCGTGCGCTCCGCTGCTGGTGGCCCGGGTTCGGATCCCAGGCGCGCACCGACGCACCGCTTCTCCGGCCATGCTAAGGCCGCGTCCCACATACGGCAACTAGAAGGATGTGCAACTATGACATACCACTATCTACTGGGGCTTTGGGGGAAAAAAAGGGAGGAGGATTGGCAATAGATGTTAGCTCAGAGCTGGTCTTCCTCAGCAAAAAGAGGAGGATTGGCATGGATGTTAGCTCAGGGCTGATCTTCCTC